TTTTTAAAAAAAAAAAAAAAAAAAGGAATCATTTGTTATTCGTTCCATAGAGACTATGCTGGTATGAGAAAAAGCTCTCAGAACATGAAGGCATCTTTGAGGTCACTCAAACAGAAGTAAACGGAGTTGAGTCATCTAAACTATTTTAAATCCTGAAGCTTCAGGAAAGAATCCCAAATAAATCTCTTTTCAAAATAAATTTTTATTTTTTAATTATTAAAATGTACCTCCAGGGTCTGTCCTTTTAATCCATCCCACAAGGGAACTATGGCATGAAGCACAGACTTGCAGGCCAGAGCACCTCCACTGGTGCAGAGCACACTCCCTTCATCAGCAAACTCTCTGTCTTTTTCTTTGTCAAACTCTGCTTCGAGCGCTGGTCCAGCCTTTGCCAGCAAGGCTTTGCAAAGAGGCCCCGTGCCAAAATTCAGATCTACGCCAACACTGTTGACAATAACATCCGTCTGCAACAAAATTACAATGAAAATATCTATAGCCAGACTTCAAGTAAAAATATGCATCGACACTAACAGCACTTCCAAAGCAACGCACAGCACGAAAAACAAGACGCCGACAGAGAAATAACCTGGTTTCCATCACAGCCTCTACATACTGAGTATTCCTGGACTTGCAGGAAACCTGTGGTGGGCAGCATCAGACCCTCTGTGAGTCCCAACGCCACAGGTATCTATGTGTGAGCAGGTCATCCATCCATTTGTCCGTCCATCCAGGCAGAGCTGGCAAGCCCTTAGTGGAGGCAAGGCTGTGACTCACCTCATCCCGAGCAGATGCCAATGTCTGGGCACATGAAAAAAACCCAATGTAGAAAGTTTAACGTCCCCTTCCTCCTTTTCACTGAAGTGGGATTGTCTACATCTTATCAGTAAAGCAGCACCTCATGCACCAAAACAAGGTGAAGGGAGATGGTTGTGCTTTCATGAAATAAAACCAGCAAAGCCCCAAAGCCTGTTGTTTGCCTTGCAGCTCCACTGAAGGTCTTTTAATTACAAAGTATTTTAAATATGCATCATATTGAGCTTTTTTGTATCTACTATCGCTCTTTTATTGAAATAGGCTTTTACAGACACCAAAATGACAACAGAACCGACTAATATTGAAACAACAGGACAATAACAACAACTTAGGGAGACTTTAAATTCCCAAAGCAGAAAAATCAGGGGCAGCTGAAAGAAATAAATTTATCAAGATGCACTTTGCATCATTGAAGAAAAAAAACATAAGGGTAAGAAACTATGCCACAGGTGTAAACTGAGCTTTGATGGTCTAGATGAGTAGCAATTAAACTCTTTGTTAGCAAAAAGAATGAAAAAAACAAAACGGGGCGGGGGGGAGTAGAATCAGGTCTAGAGTTTGGCAAAACAATCTAAGCATGCACCTTTCTATGGGGTTGCTTTTCTAGAGGCCAGTAACTTCTTCATAGACTGTGTCTTTAACCGATCCAAAGAGAAGGAAACTAAAAAAAATAAGCCACATCTTTCCTGTTAGCATGACTCACAACAGTGGCCCAGAGAGGTGCTGATTTCCTGTAATATCCAGACGGGATAGCTACAGATCATATAAATACTTTTAGAAGGTATTTTAATATTTCCCTTTTAGGAAAAAAAATAAAAAAAGAGTTTTACATGTCGACCTTAGATCCGGAGAACAAATAAGACCTAGCTGGGAATGAAACACCTCGAAATTCCAAGCTGCCCACTATAAATGGCTGCAGAGTGACAGACCCCAACCTGAAATCCATCAGTTTTGCAAGCTTGCATCCTTGTTTAGGTAGCACACAGCCATTGTTTCCTTACATAGCAATTGCCTTGTAAATCAATATGACCTACTGTCATTCCTTTTCTATTTAAATTTAAAGAACACAACAAGTTATAAAGGAACTGGAAGACTAAATACCTACCGTGGCCTCCTGAATGTTTTTCGTCTCTACTCGGATGCGCAGTCCTTCATTTGTCGTAACCATCTGCAGATCCTGTTTTCTCTTCTCCTGGCTTTCTCTCAGCTTACCATTTCTCGAGCGTGACGTCAGTAGTATTGAGGGGAGTGATTTAGCTGTAAACACTGTTTTTACCGCCTGACTCAGAACCTGAACTGTTTCTTCTGCATCATCCACAAGATGAACCTCCTTCAAGCTGCTGTCCCCCATGGATTCTTCCAAGGTCTCCTTGATGGAGGATACAATCGAATACGTACACAGTTCCAGTGGAAAGCCAAAAATCCCTCCACTTATAGCAGGCACAGCTATGGAACGATGATTGTACGTTTCGGCTAGCTGTAGACTTTTCTTCACTGTCTTTCTTAACAAGTACACGCACTTTTCTGCTTCCTCCTTCCTCCACCTGGGCCCAACAGCATGAATGACATTCTTGCAGGGGAGTTTCCCAGCGCCCATGATAACTGCGCACCCAGGCTGCAAAGCCCCGTTCTTCCTCACCAGCTCGTCGCACTCTCGTTGCAGTTCTGGACCAGCCGCTTTCAACAGTGCCTCAGCAAGGCCACCGATGTGTTTTAACTCTTCATTAGATGCATTTACCACAACATCAACAGGATAAGTGCACAAGTCAGCTTTATACACTGCTACTACAACTCCATCTGACAGCATTTTCTTGTAGTACAGCTTTGTTTTCTCTTTATTGCTAACTTTTTCATTCTTCTGTTGTTGTTGTTCTTGTTCTTCTTCCAGCCTAATCAAACAGCTAAATTTCTGCTTTGCCTCAAACACACATGAATCTTTCCTCTCAGTGAAGAACTCTTTCGCACCTGGTTGATTAATTGCCACACTTTTTATGTAAAGGGATGAGAGAATTTTTTCAAACGTGGTGGCTGCTTTTGGCACTTCTGCTCTTGGTCCACTCAGAGAAATACACAGTGTCTTGTTGTCAAAACATACTGTCACACCTTTCTTCTTCAATTCAAGACAAAAACTGGATTTTTCCTTCTCTACAAACTGCACTGCCACCAGCGACTTAGCCAGGATTACTTTTTCCATGTGTATGTTTCTATCTATAAAATCATTAAGTTTCTGATAAACTTCTGTGACAGCCTTAGAAAAGCCAGCAATAACCACTTTATTTTCTTTTCCAACAGGTTCATCAATGACTACATTTTCCTGGGGAGAACTGTACTTCTTACGCAAGGAGGCAAGTAGACTGCTCCACTGATGCTTTTTAATGACCTCACCGTCCTCCACGTTGATGCACTTATATTGCAAGCCTGTCCTTATTTGCTTTTCTGCTTCTAAAAGATCTTTGTGAGCATCTCCAAATAGCAACACAGTATCATCCTCAAGCTTATAAAAGGCATTAATTTTTTTCCTAGTGAATAATATCTCTGACATTAGTTTATTGTCTACATGCTGCAGATAGTGGAAAACATAGGGATCAACAGTAACTGATGCGCACGGCATATTTAATATCTTTTCCAGTAAGTCAGCTTTGATTTTATATACTTCCACAGGTAATCCACACAACTGAACAGTTTTTTTTGTGTCATCATAAAAGATCTTTAAGCAGGGATATTCTTTGTGAATATTCTTTTCTAGCCCAGCATTGTGCAGGACAGCATACTTCCCTGGGGCCACTGACACAGAAATTTCTATGCTTTGTTTTTCGCTTTCGCTTTGCTTCATGGGTTTTTCCATGCATTTCCTCACTTCCTTCTCTGCACTGTCCACTGCTGCTCTGTTGCCTGCAATCACCACCATCTCCTCAGAAATATCAGTTATGATCAAAGCAACATCTTCCACCAGTCTGTTTTTCACATCTTTCCAATCCACTGAATTTACTTGACATTTTATAGCTATGTAACGTGCCATGATACGCGAGAACTCAGCTGAAGCATCTTGCTTCCATGTCTTGATCAACTTAATCATTGTTTTTTTCTGTTTGGAGAGAGACGATGATGGGCACAACATAATTTCTGGGTATGCACACACCACCTGGGGCCATTTTAGCTCACAATGGCAAATTGCCATTTCCTGGTTTATGTCTTGGATCAGTTTAGCCTGCTTTTGTAAAAACTGCCAGACATATGGATCTAGTGGCACCCCAATGGGGTCTGGCATCTTGACAGTTGGTCTTTCTTCTCCATAGAGAGCTGTTCCCAGGGAGTGGTAATATGGATGCACAGAAATCGGTTTCTGTTCCAGTAAATGCTGCTTTTCCAAGACAGTGTTCAGGTCTAAAAGTAAGGACACACGCATACGAACACACATACACCATTAACTTCAGATCAAGCAAATGAGACTGTTCTTAGAACTATTACATTGAATAAAATAATGGTTTTTTTTTCATTTGAAAGAGGTATTTTTATGTCTTACTGACTTCCAGCTCACTCTGTAGTGGACAAGGTAAGAGGTTTGGCTCCACCTAGTTTGGTAAATAAGCTTGTGCCTGGATTGACCTATACAGCTACACCTTGGTCTCATTTCCTAAGTCAACCCCACCACAGAGCAGGGCTGCATCAACTTACTACTACTGAAATGCTCCTTGCTCTCAACTTAAGACAAAACTCTTCGTGCCACTGCATTTTTACTTTTTTTTGTCCCCCATTTCAGTTGGAGTGGACAAAGGAAAGGAATTGTAATACTGGCAGGGACTTAAAACCACATTACAATGATTCAAATTGCTCGTTAACTTAATGTACAAAGTATTCTTAAGCAACTTCTGAGAGCCAGAAGAAAAACGATCACCTGGCAGATACCTTTAATTACAAGTAAAAGAATTCGCTAAGTCAAGAGTCTCCTCACACAGAGACACTTACCAGAGGTTGCACTGGCACAAAAACGGGACAGTGATTCAACACAAGAAATAGTAAAAAGATTGTTCTTTAGCTTTATTCTTCCCTAATAATGAAGATATTTGACCTTAATTAGTTTCTGAAAGCTAACTGTGAAAGCTGAAGTAATTGACAGATCCTGCTTCCTCAACAATTAATGAGGTATTGCAAATAAAACACTCTGTAAATGGGGAAAAAACATCAGTGGGAATAACCCATGCACAAAGCAGGTATTAAAATGTACCTTTGGTAACAAAAAAAAACCCAGAGAGGTTCTGAAACCCTAGACATGCAGTAGTATTTCTAAATCCAGAGCATTTCCCAGGAACAGGACAGTGTATGCTGGCTTTAGCGACAGCAAACCATGCTTCTCCTAATGCCCAAATTTGCAGTAATTTTCTTTCAGATCCACTGCCTGGGAGCACTTTGGTCAGGCAAAGGACAGTGTTACCTTTGTGATCACAGAAAGTAATGATGGCCGAGTTCTTCTCAGGGAAGAGCTGGACATCTGACACAGGCGTCCCTCCATTCTGCACACTCTCAAAGTAAGCCGAGATGTAGTCTGCGGAAACACTGGCCGGTATGTTTTCAGCCTTGATACTCCGGGTCAATTCAAGAAGCCTGGCAGTTATTTTTAATTCTTTAACTCTCTTGTTTTGTGAACACTTTTTGACAAATTCTTCAGTATCTGTAAACAGAAGAACAGTATGAACCGACCATATTTTCCTGGGTCATTATCAGCCCTGGCTATCACTTCTGGCAGAGAAATGAGACGAGTCTACTTCTCCCTGTATTTGGAGCAAGACTGTCCTTGGTGCCAAATAACTCTGTGTTGTAACAAAAAAGGGGAAATGCACACAGCCATGTTACTCTCTGCTATTCACTACCGCTATGTCTCTGTTCCCCTCTTACTCGTCTCTTCATGAACTTCTCACTGTTTCGCTGTCTTCTCAAATGGAGACTTTATATACTACAATAATTTGCAGAACTCATCTCCACACTCAGTCCGCTTCTAATTCTTCTCCACCTAACCCAAAATAAGACAGAGACAATGAAACATTCTCATCCAACTTCAATTAATGAAGATGTCATTTTCTTCTTTTAAGTGTAAGATTTGAATCGCAGGCATTTTCATGGAGCTGTAAGTCTTACATCTTTCTTGAGCAACTACAGTCCAGATACTTTTTAAAAACTGTCTGAATCTCTAACGGTAGAAGAATCAAGCTCTGAAAGCTATAACTCATACATATACATGGAAATGAATGACGGCGTTCATCCTGTCTTACCGATACTTTTTATAAAGGTAGCTACAGCAACATTTATTTCAGGTATCACTTCCACAGTGAAGTCATCATTTACTGTCAGGCCGCTGATGCTCTCCAACAGCATACTTAAGCATTTTAGACTGCATGCTTGTATGTTTTCAAACACCACCAAAGGTGAGGTCTCTGCAGACTTTTCTGCAACATTCTTCACAGAGCCAGCTTCCTCCTGGAGTTTGCCATTTGGAATAAAACTCTCTGCTTTCTGCAAGGCTTTTGCATCACCTTCAACACAAAGAGAAATAAGCCACATAACATATTGGTACATGTTTCCTGGAATAAACAGATTTTGCTTACCCTTTCTCTCCTTTCCTTTCCCATAAAAAGAGATTATCTAACCCATCAAATACTGCAGGGTAGCCCGGGACATTTTGGGATCCAAACCAGCCCAGACGCAATATTCTGCAGGGCTGCAGGCAGCTTCTTTGGTGGCACAAAAATAGCCACGAGTAAACAAGTCCAAGGTCACTGTTATATCTCCGTGTTGGAGACATGAATAAAATAAAATAAAATCCATTACGATAATCGGCCACAGCTGCTGAGGCGTTCGTAAGAGTTGTGAGAGACCCTGCAGCCTCTGCATAGGTTTCTTGGCCCAGGTGCAGGCATAAAAAGCCCAAAGACCGCTCAGGACATCCACAGGCACCATAGGCCCCCAGTAGCTCTGCATGACTCTATGCAAAGCCTCCTGATGACCACCGTGCCGCACTGTCACTGTAGCATGACAACACTGAAGGACCCATGTGCACAGAAAGCTGGCAGCGATGCAACAATATTTGGCAGACAGAAAATAGAACAGGGGCTGCCCACCAAGTACCCCAGAAGTTCAGCGGCTGCTGGAGGAAGGAACATCTCCAGCTTTGCAGACAGATGAGGGTAGAGGTGGGAGAGAACCTCCGAATGGAAGCAAAGTGCTCCTCCGCATGCCTGAGTAAACTCAAAGTGTCACACAGGTGTGTGGCGACACAACTGTCCAACAAGCAATGGAAAACAGTGGTAACAGAGCGCCGCAGGGTGGTGGGGGACCCCAGGGTGCTCAAGATGGCCATGCTTGCAAACAAAAGCAGTTCTCCACTCCTTGCCACAGCAAACACAATCAGGAGTATAAGCCCCTCTCAGTTTGGCAAACCAGAACATCCCTGCACCATGGTGGGGAGACAAACATCAAATGAAACCCTGACGCTCATCGCCCTCAGTGTAAACCTCCAGAGCCACCATCTCTGGCTGTGGCAGAGGACATGTACAACTGAGGGGAGAGGAGCTCGGTGGGGCAGTTGTACACCTGACCAGGGACAGGGGAGTCAGGTAAGGTCTCCGCTTGCTTTTGCTCAAGAACACCCAAAAACCCCTAAATCCTGGAGCAGCCCCCAACAGGCTGGCCGTGGGCGGCAGCCCCAAGGACAGAAACCGAGACGTGGGGTGGGAAGGCTCGAGCAGGCGGCAGCGCAAACAAGCCAGCTCTGCCCACTTGCCAGGTTTACAAGGTCTCCGGAGGTACAACAACTGATACCAAACCCACAACACTTACAGAAGACAGCTGCCTTTGAAGGCCTACCAGCATAAGCCCGACAACAGGAAAACAAAAGAAACAACCGCAGATGCAATAGCTCTACAGATGCTAGTTATTCATTTCTAGATCGCCGACAGGAATCACCTGCTCCACTGTGACCAATGACAAAACTACAAAAAAGCCAAAACCGAAAGATCACCCAACGAAGCAACTCAGAGCAGCATCTAGAGATTTTCAGGGTCCTCTCTAGTATAACCAAAAAATAGCAGATGACAACTTTGAGTACCTAATTTTGAAAGGAGGAAACCCATCCAAAACAGCACCGAACAAGACTTCATATGGAAAGGAAAAGATAGAGGGGTAATTCCTGAAGAACTTCCTGGTTAACTGGTCTGTCTTGGGGCTGAGTATTTACTCTTCACGGACGGGGGTATATTTAGGTTCACAGTACTGTTTTCTAGATTGCTTTTTGAACCATAAAGCTGAGCAAAATATTGCTGAAAGAGGACCTAACCGAAGTCACTGAGGTACTTGGGAGATGCACCACTTGCCTTTACAGACTTTCCTAACTGTAGGGAGCACAAAGACACCGGGCCTGGGCTTAAGACCTTCAATCTACATGTTTCTATACAGATCTTATCTTAGAGCAGTTATGCAGCATAACAGAACTAAATCCCTTTCTGGAGACGCTCCTTTGATTAAAAAGGCTATTTTAGAAGCTCAAACCAGGCGTGTGGTCTAAGTCTGGCAAGGTGAACTCCATCCTTGGTGATAAACTCTGTAGTGTCCCTGGCCAGACATCTTACCCTGTATAACCTGAGTCAGGCTGCCAAACTCAGAAACTGTCGGCACAACTCCCCACAGAACTTGAGCTGCGTGTGGAGAAAAGCACCAACATTTTCATTTTACAAAGAATCAGCACACAGAGTGATGGATAACATTTTACCTTTTGTTTGAAGGTTGCCCATGGCATCCAGAGCCTAAAATAAAATGAAAGCAAAATATTAGTGACTGATTTGATGCTCTCACCACTATTTCAAAGCTCTGGTTATGATTACAATTTTTATTCACCTTTGTGCGAACTAATTTTTCTTCAAATGCCTCCCCTTCAGCAGCTAGTGCTGTTTCAGGCTCTGTGACAATCAACTTCAATACTCCTTTTTCTCCCAAATACAGCTGATGAGACTGTCTCTCAAGAACTTGCTGCTTCACTAAATAAGAACAAAAAAACCCAGTGAAAATCTGAATAGAAATACAACTTCAGATTATGTACCACTTTTCCACCGTTATATTAGGATGCACATACTGTCACACAAAATGAAAGAGCTTTAAACTCAATAACGCTAACACAGCACAGTCGAGGCTTTCCTCCTGAAAAGGAACTGAAGAATGGCAGAGGATATTATTTCTGAAAAAAAAAAACCAAAAACAACCAACCAAAACCCAACCAAAAACCAGCAAATGATACGCAGCTGGTGCAAAGCTCAGCTCCACCACACATTTCGTGGCTAGTGTCCGGCAGGCAGCCCTGCCCTGGGGCTGCAGCACGAGGGTCCTGGTACCGGCCCCATGCCTTGCACACCCTCTTCCAGCCAGTGTCAAAAAATGGCTTGGGACTGCATGTCCTGAACTTACCAGCTGGTCGAGTCAGGAACTGGGAAGCATGATAGGCAAAAGAAAAAAAAAAAAGTATGTATATATATGTGTTTATGCACATATGTGTACATACATGTATATGTATACATTTAACACAACTGGAGCTAAATGCTTTCCACCTTGCTGCAAGTTTATATAAAAACATGCACATTATATATGTCATATTTTAATATATATCTGTAACTACAATATATATTGTTATACTAACATAAGCTGTATTATTAGTTATTATTAAAGGGGGCCTACAGGAAAGATGGGGAGGGACTCTTTATCAGGGAACATAGCGATAGGACGAGGGGTAATGGCTTCCAACTAGAAAAAGGGGGATTTAGAATAGGTATTAGGAAGAAATTTTTCACTGTGAGGGTGGTGAGACACTGGCCCAGATTGCCCAGAGAAGCTGTGGATGCCCCATCCCTGGAGGTGGTCAAGGCCAGGCTGGATGGGGCTTGGAGCAACCTGGGCTGGTGGGAGGTGTCCCTGCCCATGGCAGGGGGGTTGGAACTCGATGATCTTTAAGGTCCCCTCCAACTCTAACCATTCTATAATTTTATTCCAAGTGCAATCTAGAGAATACTACTGTGCATCAAGATTAATACATATGCATATATACCTGGTAGGGCACATTTATTAACTTATAGCCTGGAGTTATTCAAAATGCAATCCAGAAGTTAGCACTAAGCACCAAATTTCATCATATGTAGAAGCAAATACCTATTATATAGTCTATATTGCATATTACGGGATGTATATGACACATTGTGTACTACAGAGGTGTATATAGATTCATAGAATGGTTTAGGTTGGAAGGGACCGTGAAGACCATCTAGCACCATACACGCTAGACCGTATTTATCGCACCACACGCTGTAACTGAGTCATTATAACACCTTTTAACTTGCGGAAAGCCACGGCTGGTGAGCGACGCACCCCCGGTCGCTCCCTCCCGCGGGGCGACGATGCGCCGACCCCTTCCGAGGCCCCCTCCGCCCTCGGCCGCCGCCGCCTGGACCCCACCCCCGGCCCCGGCCGCTCACCCT